GGAAACTTGCTTGATCTGCCCCCTCCGGTTCGCTCTCCGGACCCACTGGGGCTTTCCGATGACAATTTTTATAAATATTTACATTATATTTTAATTGTTCCGAATTGTTGTTGTATTTTAAGTGTTGTACGCCGCCCAGAGACCTTTATAAATTAAATAAATAAATAAATAATAACAATAACAATAACAATAATAATTAAATCTCCTGCCTCCCCTTCCCTTCCCCTTCGCCACCCTCCCAAGAACGGACTTGCAGCCCAAAGGCAAGACTGGCTCTTGAAGTCCTGGCTGTCAGCTGACCAGGCGGGAGCCCCGCCCCTCCCGTGAAGGCTTCTGGGAGTTGTATTTCCCTGCTCTGGGCCCCGCCCCGCCTTTCGTCCGGCCGAGGCCTGGGGTAGCCCAGCCGCCTTAACTACCCCACACTTTGCAAATGCTCTTTAACCATTACTCCTTACCCCTAGCCCTTCGGGGTCGGGCTGATGGGAGTTGTGAGCTGGGGGGTTGCTGGGGGGGCGCCCATGCTCCCCTTCTGGCCGTCGTCCCTGGTTAAAGAGCATGTGCAGAGTGCCTTTTCCTTAGTAACTCTGTGGAGGCTGCCTTTGCCAGGGGCCAGATTTCCAGGCAGAAAAATTGACATGAACATGAAATAAAAATGTACATATCCCGTGAAAAACCCTGTCCTTCTCAGATTGCCAGTTGTGGGAAGGAGCCCCTCTTACATTTAGTGTACAGTAGTTGCGTGTGTGTGTGTGTGTGTGTGTACACATATATGGATTGCACCAGTTGCATTTGCCTATTTATGGCACTCCCAGGGGTGTGGTAACCCAGTTTGTTGTCATGATGCAGATTAAATGAAAGTCCACAGAAAGATAAAAAGCCCACAAAGAAGTAAAATTCTACAGAAAACTAAAAACCCAGAACAAAATCTGAGGTAAAATTAAAAAGACCTCAGTCAGGAAAGCAGAGCGGAAGCTATAGCCTGAGGTAAAAATTCTCAGGAGAGTCAGTCTGAGGAAATTTGTGAGGCGAAATAGGAACTAAAAAGTGTAACTAAGGTGGTTTTAGCTCTTCCCCTGTAAACAAAGTGTGGCCAGCCTATAAGAAAGAAAAGTTAAAAATGGATTTAATTCAGAAAAGGGTATTCTCTGGCAAACTTTCAGAATTAACAACGATGAATTATAAACGGTTGGTTGACCCACGGACGACTGATTTACAAGCATTAGAAATAAGTGTACAGTATAGAAAAAAAAAGAAAAGGCTTGTAATGAAGAGTGTTAAAAGTTAAGAGGAAAAAAATTACAGAATGTTCGAGTCTGTAATATATCACAGTCTCACAGATATTAACTTATGTGAGGAATTCGGAGACAGTGAGCCAAATGCTTCCCAATTTAAAATATTTTTATGGTATGTCTATTCATCATGAATCCTTTTAGGCCATTAGGCCAATTTTAATATTTAATTTACTGTGTTTTTAAACAATGTGAATTGTAATGTTGTGAGACGCTCTGGATCCCTTGTTGGGAGAAATATGGCATCATCATCATCATCATCATCATCATAAAAGGCAAGTTAAGTTCAAATAAGAACTGTGAGCAACACATAAATGCAATCTTGTCATAGACATAAAGATAAGACAATAAGAAAATGAACAGATGTAGACACTGAGTTAAATACTGTATAAAGGAGTAAGACCTTTATTAAAAAACTGTTATATACAAAGAAGCAACAAAGTACATTACTTAATACACAGTGACCTGTGTGGACAAATTAATGTTGCTTCAATGAATGAAAAAAAAATTTTCTAATTTTTGTGGATGATTTTTCAAGATACTGTGTTAAAATATTTACTGAAAGAGAAGAGCCAAACTTATGAATTTTTTAAAAAGTATGTGGCAATAGTCAGCCATAAATTTGAGATAAAATCAAAGGCAATACTAACAGGCAATTGGTGATGAATACAGTATATCTCACAGAAAATGAACAATTTAAGAACAAGGAATTTTGCATATGAAGTTGCTTATACTCCTGAGTAAAATGGATTAACAGAGAAAAAACTAAGATATATTTTTGAAATGACAAGATGTATGTTAGCAGATGCTGGATTGCCAAATAAATTTTGGGGTGAAGCTGAGGGGCAGGAACATATATTCAAAATAAACTGCCAACTAAGCACAATAACAAAACAGTATATCAGATTTGGCATAGAAAAATTCCATCTGTACAACATACAGTATAACAGTTTTTGGAAGTCATGCTTGTGCTTATATACCCAAACAGAAAAGACAACAGTTAGATTGCAGAGCTGAACAAACTATAGTAATTGAATATGATTAAGAGTGATTAATTTGAAAACAGGATAAATCAGTATCTGATATGCAATTTATTTTGAGGAACTGAAGAACATTGATTAAAAAGGAATTATACTAGATAATTTTGAAGATCAGTACAATAAACCACTCATAGATATGAAAGCTGCTGTGTGAATATGCTGTGTCATTATTCCACAACATTGTTGGTTATCTATTATTAATAGGTTCAGATTGGACACACTAGGAAAAATCATCCTAATGGAAAAGAGCATCTGTGACAGTGGAACAGCCTGCCTCAAGACATGGGGAGGGCCTCTCATTCCCTTGAGCTGCTTAAGCAGCAGCTGGGAGGGGCTGGACTAAATGACCTCCAGTATCCCATCAAACTTTATGATTCTATCAAATGTATGCAAATTAACATACATGTAGATATGAGCACAGCCTGCTATTTCGTAAACAGTAACTACTGCTGGCTGCTTGTTGAAGCTCTTGTTACCTCCAGCATGATAAGTTGCCTTCTCTTGGTTTATCTGTTTGTTTTGTTTATTTATTTTATTTATAGGCCACCTTTCTCTTGATAAAGGGACCCGAGGCGGCTCACAGCTCTGGGTTGTTGCTATAGGCTGTCAAGTTGCACTCAACGTACAGTAAAGTAGCCCTAACAGAGAGTTAAAGGTATATGAGATACTGTATTTTGGAGCTGTTTTACTTGTGCCATCTGCCAAGTAAGTTTCAAATCCAAGCAGGGATTTGAACACAGATCTCCCTAGTTCTAATCCATCACTCCATCCAATCCATCAACTCAGTCATCATCCCCTTGGCTTTGAGGGCATGAAAAGGGCAGCATCCACAGATACAGTACAGTGTTCTGCAAATGGGCTGCAGCCTTTCACGCTGACAAACAAGAAAGATATGTATCAGAATTAGAGGGATGTATACTAACTACCCTATGTACATAGGGGCGGTGCTGGAAAATTCAATAAAGCCTCACACTGTCAGAGAATTCCTCCAAAAAGAATGGAAGGTTGGCCTACTTTGAGGACACTGATCTGGTGCCACTAAAACAAGCCTGAAATTAATATGTTTCTATGTATGCTTTTGTTTGTTTACCAGACTTAAAATTCAAGACACAGCCAGCACATTTTGAGGAAATATACAACAAATAGTATTTGAAGACAAGCAACCTTTCCGTGTGGTGATGTTCACAGATTATTCACAAGGTGGCACTGTCTGTCGTATTTTTGTGCCTTTTTTGGCATTGTTCTTGGTTCAGCTGTCTTTGGAAGGTACAGTACTGTAATTTCAAGGGCAAATGTGTGGGAAAGTGTGTGAAGGAAAACAGAAGCTATTGTCCCCAAGATTCAGGAAACAGGCTGGAAAGTAGGGTACATGAACCACGTCAATTTAAGGCAAGGGCCAGCATTGTCGAGGCAATTGGTTTTTTTTTCCCTATCTTGTATATTTGAATGTATATTTCTCCACCTAACCAGCACAGCTGGATGATATTATTTAGCACAGTCTACATGTTTTATAAAAGGTTCTTGATGTAAAAGAAAAATAATTTAACCAGATTCTCTCAGGGAATAATTTTGGACTTTACACTGCAAGCTGTTTGGAGAAGGAACCATTTTTCTGTGCAGAGTGTGTTGGCGATACCATAGGCCCAGCAGTCGTCAAACATTCAGTACGGAAGGCACTGCCCTGAGAGACATCCCAGGCAGTGGGAAGCTCACACAGAAGCCAACCTGATTTGCAGATGCAAAGAGGAAATGCAGACACATTCAAGAGCCTCCATACACGCTTAGAGTCTGATTCTCTACAGGCACCCACCAGCGGGGAAGTATTTCAAAAATACACATTCTTTATTGAGAAATGGGTTAACAATAGGGTCCAGCAGCACTGCTGGCAAAGAGTTAAAGCAGGTGTCTACTGGTTTGTTGTTTGAGGGTGGTGTGTGGGCAGAGAACCCTCTCTTCGTACTTCTGGTGGAACTTCCACGCTTTTCCCAAAGAACAGCTGGTGACTGGGGGGCAGCTGGTGCTTTGTGTAGCCATTTGCCACCGTATAGAGCCTGACGGCTCCCTTGGCTGATGGGCAGAGTTCTTTCCATAGCTCCCCATTCTGCTCCAGAGTCAGGACATCCTGGAACACAAATAGCAAGTTAAATCATGCATTTGAAGAGATGTGTAAATGGCAGAATGTGTGTGCATTTGGGGGCTTAGGGGATGTTCATGCCCTGCTCTTAAAAGGAATTGTAATGGAAGGGATTTTCCAAGAAATTTTGAATGACTGTAGCAGCCCACTCCACTTGGCACTTCATAGACACACAAAGGAACGCTTCTTTCTCTTACAACATATATTATTTTGGCTACTGTGGCTTCCCTTGAACACCTGATTTATATTGTAGACTAGAGTAATGGCATGTTAAAGAAAATTAAATGTAGGGTACTTCAGTGCAGTTTAATGAATTCTGAAGTCAGCCAGGACTATGTGTTAACTTTAGAGAAGGCATATACTGTAGATACTACGATCTCATTGTGAACAGCAGGATGGAGAGCCATGAATTCCATCCATGGATAAATTTCTGCTAGTTAGGTAAAGGTTCCCCTTGACATTTAGTCCAGTCGTGTCCGACTCTAGGGCGCGGTGCTCATCTCCGTCTCCAAGCCATAGAGCCAGCGTTTGTCCGAAGACAGTTTCCGTGGTCACATGGCCAACCCGACTAGACACAGAACACCGTTACCTTCCCACCAAGGTGGTACCTACTTATCTACTCACGTTTGCATGCTTTCGAACTGCTAGGTTAGCAGGAGCTGGGACAAGCAATGGGAGTTCACTCTGTCGTGTGGATTTGATCTTACTGTCTAACTCAGGCTCTTTAACCCAAGCAACTTTCTGGAGGGAGGCTATCCCTACATTTTCAAAAGTTTCAGATGTACCTCTCTTTTGATAAAGATGATGCTGGTGGATTCGTGAGCTTCAGGACCTCCAATAGCGTAGCAGTGCTTTGCTTGTTCAGACGTCAGGCTGCACCTGAAGGACCGATCAGCTGTTCGGCAGCCAAAATGGCCGCCGGAAGCCGGGAAATGGCCTAAAATGGCCGCGCGCAGCGTTTTCGCGCCCTCGTTAAGCAAGGCGAGGGCGCGAAAATGGCTGCCGGCCATTACGAAGCTTCGTTGAACGGTGAGTATTTGGCCCATTTGGAACGCATTAAATCATGTTTAATGGGTTCTAATGGGCTTTTCTGTACCGTTTAACGATGCTTCAGCATAGCGAAGGTTAATCCGGAACGGATTAACCTCGCTATGCGAGGCACCACTGTACTTTCGTTGTTATTTTTACAATTCAGAACCTGAAGAATACATCACACTAGTAGAGTTCATTCGGCGGATCAAATAAAGAGAAACTGGGATCATAACCTGACAAGCAGCACATCAGAATAGAGGAGAAAATACTGGACAGATTACGGAGAGAAGGCTTTGGTGTGCTAGATGTAGATCCTCACAATGGCTGGACAAACTTTGACCACACCTGACAGGGCTTATATACTGTATAGGACTCTCAATCAATCACAAAAGACTTAAGACTTCTAACCCATCACAAAAGGCTCACCAGGATGCGCCTGAGGTCTGCGGAGGAAAGATCAGAGATATCACAAGGTCCTTCAGACCTTGAGGCCTCTGCCTCAAGATATGGAAATATTTGCTACTAGCTGTCGGAATGTCAAAGTATTGTAAATTTTATAGGCCTCAACAGGTCCAGACTGTGGTATTGATGAACTGCCATAATGAACACCTGTGTAACTGCTGAGTCACAGTGACTATGGAGAAGATGATGCAACGTTTGTGCAACACCCATGTAAAGGAAGATGATGCAACACTTGAAGTGATTGGACAGAAGGAGCAGTTCAACTGTATACAGCCACTTGAAGTGATTGGACAGAAGGAGCAGTGCAACTGTATATAAGTGAACACTGTAGACATTAATGTATCTACAGTACTTTGCTTATATTTTTGCCTGCCACGCGAGGCCTGAACAGGTCCAGACTGTGGTATTGATGAACTGCCATAATGAACACCTGTGTAACTGCTGAGTCACAGTGACTATGGAGAAGATGATGCAACGTTTGTGCAACACCCATGTAAAGGAAGATGATGCAACACTTGAAGTGATTGGACAGAAGGAGCAGTTCAACTGTATACAGCATAAGTGAACACTGTAGACATTAATGTATCTCTTTCTCTATCCTATCCTCTCTGCTACTTTGCTTATATTTTTGCCTGCCACAGGGAAGGTCTGCTACTTTGTACATGTGTATATATTTGTTAATACACGTGTCTTTTTGCAGAAGAAGAGTGTGTGTGTGTTTTTCTTCAATCAGAGAACTCTGCACATTAAACAGCAAGAAGCTGACACGGAAGGCTAGGGCTTCTCAAGAGGCCTGAGGCAGCCTAGAATGCTAGAAGTGACAAAATAAAGCATGCACTTTGCCTTCAGATAAAGTCTGATTTATTTATTACTCCTTTGTTACATTGTATCCCATTTCCCATCAAATGGCCACAGAACCAGCCTCATGCATCCATACATAAAGCCAAGCTGGAGATCTGAACTGCAGGAAAAAGGAAGACCCATTCCCTTCCGGAGTCGGAGAAGTTCCATTTTTTGGGAGGTGTATTCCCAACCAGTATGCCCAGTGGCCATGCAGCACCCAGCTTTGCTCCTTCTCTTTTCAGAACAGGATTCAAAGCATTACCTGACATAGAATTCCACGCTACAGCGGCCGGCGCTGGTCTCGTTCCGAGCTATCCCGAGCAACACTGGCCTGCTCAGTGAAGACGCGGGAAGGTTCACCTGGGAAGCATCAGAAAAGCTGCTTCAGCAATGGGCAGGGGATGGCAACGAAAAAGCCACTCCTGCCTCCATCGCTTGTGACCCGCCTCACCTCATCCTGGATCTCTCGCAGCACAGCGGAGAACAACTCCTGGACCACCAATTCTCCCCGAAGGTCTTGGTGGCAGATGGGTCCCTCTGAGGCAGTTTGGTCCTTCACTACCTGCAAAGCAGGGGGGGCAGGGATGGAAAGGCTGTTTTTATTCCCAGGGACCTAGATGTGTCACAGATCTAACCGACTGGCCACAGAATCATAGAGTAAATGAATTGAAACGGCTCTATTAGACCATCAAGTCCAACTTCCCTGCTCAACGTAGGAACTGAAATCAAAGCAGATCTGACAGATGGCTGCCCAATTTTCTCTTCGATGCCTCCAGCGCTGGAGTGCTCACCACCTCCCAAGGTAATGGGTTCTATTGTCGTACTGCTCTAAAAGTCAAGAAGTTTTTTCCCCTGATCATCAGACGAAATCTAACTTCCTGTAGCTTGAGTCTATTATTACATGTCCCGCACTCTGGGATGATCAAGAGCAGATCCTGCCTTTCCTCTTTATGACTACCACGATGACTCAGGCATGCTAGTCACAACAGGACCTCTGCAAAGTTAAGAGCTGTGTCGGCATTGCAGTTACTGTGGACTGCAGAGACCCAGGTTCAAGATCATGCAAGGCTGTGAAATTCATGGGGTGATCTTGGGCCACACACTGCTAACCTCACTTAATTGTTATAGGAATAACAGTGTGAAAGTACAGTAGATCGTATCTATGTCCTTGGAAGAAACATGAGGCATACCTTTAACAAACAGGTAGCAAAACATCAAGTATGGACCATGAGGATATTTTATAGAAATACCCCTCAAAAATCAGGTACTGACCTCTCAGAAATTTAGCTCATAGCCTGTCTTGTACCTTTTTTATAGGCGTATAATTCCCCCCTTTCCTTCCACTTGTCCAGCCTCTGATTCCTCAAGCCCCATTTTCCAACATTTTTTTCTACAGCTTAAACATTTGGCCATGTATTTCAATTTGACGTCTTTGCCCTTTTTTGGCATTCTTTTTTTTAAACCTCCAACTGTAGGAAGAGTTCTGTTGAACTCAAAAGCTTACATATTTTCTGTATTTACAATTAATCCTAGTAGAGGTATTACCCAGCAGTGGATTTGGGATTTTTCTCCTTATCAGAAGACATTTATGCAGAGGTTCGGTAGCCATCTGTTAGAGAGGCTTTAGCTGTAGATTTTGAATGGGGGGGTCAGACTAGCTGCCCTTTGGGTGTACTTGCAACTGTAGAATTCTATGATACAAATAGATATGAACTACAGAAGACCTACCTGTGGTTCAGGATGACCCCCTGGAATATCCATCTTCCCAGGTGCCTCGGCAACACACAGGCTCCGCCGCAAGAAGACAAATTGATCATCTGCCATGTGCAACATGGCGCCAACCCCCAGTGGATGGGCAAGATAGGCCTGGCTGTCTCCGAAGTCTTGGCGCCCTCGTTCCTGGAGTTGTCCTGCTGTCTTGGAGAGATTGGTACCCACAAAGTCCTTGTAGCAGGTGAGCCCAAGGCAGAAAGTCACAATACCCTCATCGATTCTCAAGGAATTGAGGCGGAATTTGGATCCATCAAAGAGCCAGGGGCTTTCCTGGCGACGGGCCTCCCAAGCGGTCTCAATCTGGAGCTGGTCCCCAGGGAGCAACCGCCGGTCGTAGCGAGGGGAGACCTCAGCTCGGACCTGAGATTCCGCGATTCCGTTGGGAGATGGGCACTGGAACAAGATGGAGATTTCTGGATCCATCCTTCCCCTGCTTTATCCATTGAAGGGTACCTGGAAAACAATCCACACAAACCAAATTACGTCCAAGTCTGTTGTCTCCAGATCTCTCAGGTGGGGGCATTTTTCTGATCCTTAATGCACAGCTGCCAGGCATGCAAACATTCATAAGAATTAACAAACAGTTGAGCTGCCACCTTTATATGGGCCTGCCCCCAACCTCTATGAAAAGCAGCTAGACGGAGTGAAATTAAAGAATATTTCTCCGACATGGAAATGTAAAGAGCGGGTGCATGCTGACAGCACTTTCTGAGTCTTAGATTCCTGTCAAAAGGTCACAGCCAGTAAAGCTGGCAGTCTGATTCGTTTGCAAATTTAAAACAAATAAACATTCTAGTTGAAAGCACCAAATAAATATATCTCTGCAAAATTTGGTTGGCGATTCTAACTCTCAAAGGAAGTAGTGATTCTGGGTCAGAGTAAGGGCCTGTTGCATCTCTTGGGAACTCTTCCCAAAAAGCTTTGCAGCTCTTAGTCTTTAACAGTGTGGTTTCTTTTTCCACAAAGCCAGTATGCCTAATTAATCTCGGCCAAACTGACATGTGTCTGTCAAAACAGAAGCTGGAGGCTGAGCTTTTCCTTGAGCAGTTGGAATTATCATGAAGATTCTTTAACTTTTCTAGAGCTCAGCCAATAACAGTTGTGGAGGCGGAGCTCTATTCGACTTCCTGAATTCCAATTTCTGTTGTGCCACACCAGCACAGAAGGTCTACCTTAGCTAAGGTTTTCCAAAGCCTGCAAGAGGGAGACAAATCTGAAATCGTTACTTAAGTCTCAAGGAATCAAAGATAGGCTACTCTTATTTACAGAGGCTCTCTTGTAACTACCATTCTAAAACAGCCCACGACTCTTAGCTGCACTCTGGATCCAAGCAGCATGTGTGGCTTTTAAATGATGTTGTATCTTGCCTTTTTGTAATAAAACCTTATTTTCCCCTCCGTTCCTCGAGTAAAATCGCAGAAAGGGACGAAAAAAAATAAGGTTTTCTGTATCTCTGCCCTTCTCGAGTTTAGTCTAGCGAGCTGGATAAATTAATGACTTGATTTTTAAAAAAACACCGCTTTTTTGTCTCCTATCTACGCGGCCCACCAGCAGCCGCGATGATTGTCGCTTGGGATTACTAATTGTTATGTTCATTATCACCCTGATTGCCCTCTTTATTCACGCGCCGGGAAGCGCCTGCCTCGCCCCGGACAATCAGGCCATTTAGTCGGCCAGGTTTCTGGGCTGTAGCCCTGGCTCTAACAAATGAACATTTCCATAATAGCTATGCTAATGACGCCAAGGCTGGGGAGGGAGCTGAGGCTCATTTTCGTGGCGGCTGAAAAGAGGGGCCGACGAACACGTGTCGCCGCTGTCCTTTCTCACGACCGCTGTGCGCGCGCCTCCAAAGAGATCGGGGTCGGGGGAGAAGGAAACTTAAGGGGGAAAAGCCGGGCAGATCCTTTTGGGGTGGCCGGCTTCTTACCTCCTGGATGCCTGCAGCTGCTGCCACCTCCCGGAAGGAAGTCTCCGGCTTTTGGTTTGTTTTTCCCCCCGTGTTTTTAAAGCTCCGGGCAGGAGCACCGCCAGCTGTTTTTCCGTGGTTCTTACCACCCCCCTGGCTTCGCTCTGCTGTTTCGTGCCCAGGACCCAGGTTCCCCCCCCTCGCCAGGATGAGAGTGGCCAGAAATAGACCGCCCCACAGTTTATTCCGACGAAGGCTATCACTTATTTGTTTGTTTGTTTGTTTGTTTGTTTGTTTGTTTATTTATACCCCCCACCTTTGTCCTAAAAGATGACGTTCAGGGTGGCATATAAACTTTTTAAATTACAGTAATCACAACAGAGAAAACAACAACAGCAATAACAGGAACAGCAGCAGCAGCAGCAGCAGCAACAACAACAACAACAACAACAACAACAATGCCCCGAGTAGACATTGTCCAGAGGGGCGGGGTAAAAATTGAATGAATGAATGAATGAATGAATGAATGAATGAATGAATGAATAAACAACAACAACAACAACAACAACAACAACAACAACAACAACAACAACAACAACAACAACAATAATAATAATAATAATAATGCCCCAATGTGGCTTCTCCATTTTACCCAGACACTCTTGGAGAAATCAGGCCACAAATGAGTTTCCTTTAAGCCATTGGCTCCCAAACTTGGGCCTCCAGATGTTCTTGGACTTCAACGCCCAGAAATCCTGGCCAGCACAGTTGGTAGTGAAGGCTTCTGGGAGTTGTAGTCCAAGAACATCTGGTTTACAATTCCTGGCTTGTTCTGAAGTAGCAAGCGAAGAAACTCAATTTAGATGACATGCTAAACATTCCTGGTTTGCTTAATGATTGTGTTATTAAAACCAATGTAGATTTCATTCACAAGAAGCCAGGATTCACATAAATTCTACCTAATTGTGTCCTCTGGACCCCAATCTATTTCAGACAGGGGTGTCCTTGCCCTTCTTTGCTGACAAAGGATTTCCCAAACCTCTGTGAAACACTCTAAAAAACTATACTGTATGCTGGATCCCAGTACTTTGCTTCATCACCGAGATGTTATGGAGAATTCACACTGGGAAATGCACAATTCCTGCAATTAGCCTTTTCTTTCTGTGACAACACATCTTCATCAGAGGGAAATCAGACATGCAAATCAGGCCTGTGTTCATCTTCCAGTGGCCAATCACAAAACAAAGTTTGCTGGACTGACTAAGAGTACATGATTGACAATCATATGTCTTTCAATTATTAAATTCGACACCAATGCCATGCTAACTGTACCATCAATGATTCAATACAAATGATGTGCTAACTGTCTCATGTAATTTGAGCCTCTGTTATGATAAAAGGAGGAAAGATAAGGACAACCAACCCCATTTCTACATCCAAATTGGCCTTCACTGTGTTGTCTAAAAAATATTAAAAAATCTTGTTTTTCCTCTTCAGATGCATATGTCTTATATTGTAATGAAATTATAATGACATGTAGGCATAAGTGATTAAAACTCATGCATTTGGTTGAAATCAGGTTGTTAAATTTATTTTCTTTCCGATCGAGCGACTTGCCCTAGTTTTCTTAGTGGCTGCTGCTCCTGCAGAAGGACATTAGGCTTGCCATAATCTTGTTCTCAAATCCTAGGATAAAAAAATAAAAAAGAAAGAAAGTGACAGGCAGCTTTGCCTGGCCATAACTGCAAAGTTATGTCACATAAAAAAAAATAGAGAGAAGAAAATTGATGCTGAAAATAATTCATTTGGGATTCCAAGGAAGAGGAGAAAACAAGACATATGCATCTGATTAGGATGTAGAGAACATTAACAAGGAAATGGATGACGCTGTCAAAATGGACAGAGAAAGAGATCCTTGCAGGCAATCCACCAAGCTAGCTAGATGGCTTGAGGCCTTATGTGCCCCGCTAGATGATGACCTCGCAAAACAATGAATCCGCATGACGATGATTTTTTGCGATCGCTATAGCACCTTGCAAAACAGTGTTTCCTATCGGCGATTTTCGCTATACGATGTTTCAGACTGTGCTTCGCAAGATGGGGTGTTTTTCGGGACTGATTTTTACAAGACGATTTTGACAGCTAGGTCCATGACTCGCAAAACGGGTGTTTTCGGGACCGATTTTCACAAGACAGCGATTTTAACAGCTGATCCGCGCTTCGCAAAACGGTTTTCCTATGGGCGATTTTCACAAAATGACAACGATTTGTCCCCATTGGAAAATGGATTTCAATGCATTATTTCGCAAGACGATGTTTTCGCAAAACAGCGATTTTTCACGGAACGAATTAACATCGTCTTGCGGAGCACCACTGTACTAGCAAAAGCTTTATCCTTTTAAAGTCCCTGGCTTGCTTTGTGCCAGATTCTATAAATACACCCCATTTCCCCTTTGTTCTTTTTACCGTTGTCTGCTCTGAAGCAGCCTTTTCCAACCAGAGAGCCTCCAGATGTGTTCCGCTCCATGGCCAGGATGCCCACATCTGGAGAGTGACTAGATGGAGTAGGAAGCTGCCTCGGAAGCATCTATATTTCTCCCGGTGGATTCCCCAGTTTTATCACAACTCAAATAAGAAGTAACAGATAACTCAGGAGGGATGCAGTTGTGAACAACATATGTAGGTGGGGGGGGGAATATGCCTTTGGAAACCGATAGCTAAACCATGTTCCTTCACTACTGAAACTATCCTATTTCTTCTGCGTTGATCTCTATCTGATTTTTGCAGTTTATTTTTCCTGAGCTGCTCATTTTGTGTCCAATTGTACTCTTCAAACAAAACAAAACAAAAAAAAAAATACAAAGAGTTAATTATTTACAACTAGTGGGCCCCCAAACGCTGAGCTGGGGATGCCGTGAGTGCCACATTTAATTCCTCAATTAATTTCTCATGTCAAAGGAAGGGATTAGGATAGTTTGGAATGTGTGGAAATTAACAGAGCTTTGCCATTGGTTTCTGCTAAACCCGTTAGCCCTAGTGGCAATAGCTCCATTCAGTAAGAGATTTGATCCCGCCGAGGGGATGTATATAATCTGATTTGTAATTGGCACTAATTAATTTTAACCTTTGAAGGGGAACATATAATAACTGGGGAACTAGGGGAGAAAGGGAGAGAGGGTGCACAATCAGTTCCTCAACATCTGCTTTTTTCAGCCCAAAAAATGGAGGTGGCCAAGCCAGCCGGCCTCTGCTCCTCTGCCTTGTAGCTAAATCTGCAGGCATCGACAAGTGATAATGGTGTGCAAAAAAAATTGCATGTTGTGAGAAAATCTTCTTCTTTTAATTCACGTCAGCGCAAAAGTGCTGTTAGAAGCCGGGGCTTTTTCCTGAGGAGTTGGCAGCCTTAAAACCAACTGGGGTGGAAAAATTTCCCTAAAATGCTTGAATCAGACACAATTTGCATCAGAAGGGGTTGGCGACTTTAACAATGCTGCTTTTTTTTGGCACAAAAGTATGGAAAACAGTGAGAGGCAGCTTGGAAGAATTCTCTGTTTACGTGCATCTTCCAGGACAGGAGGAAGCGTTATGGGTGCTGTGACCAATAATAATTATAATTATGTAGAAGTGCTGGATAGCTCAGTGGTTAAGGGATCTGGCCGCAGAACCAGAGGCTGGGCGTTCCATTTCTTACTGTGCCTCCTCGTCAGAGGCCGGATTTGATGATCCAGAGTCCCTTCCAGCTCTGCAAGGTGATGATGATCTGCCTTCCTGTCGATTTTGATTTATGGCAACCCATAAAGCACTCAGAAGTGGTTTTGCATTCCCTTCTTCTGAGAGAGGGGTGTGACTCTTGTACAACCAGGCAGAGAGGCTGGCGCTTTTCCCAGGAGGGACGGTGGTGAAGTGAACATCCGTACTCCGACTCAGCAAACTCAGATCTGGCCTGCCGAACAGATAACCCCACAGAACACACACACTTCACTTCTCAGATAAGAACGGTGTCTTTGCCTAAGATGTCACAATTAATCTGAAAAGGGAAACAAAAGGAAAATGAAGGTGGATTTCTCTCATTAGGATGATACTTCATTTTGTTACCTTTGACATCCCACACTGTGGGGAAAACATTCAGACTACATGTTTGTTTTCTTCCTATAGATGCCAACACAATTTCTGGGCTGAATTAATTTTTTTTTCTGTGGCGCTGAAGGGATATTTCTCTGTTTCCTGTTTCAGAGGACAGCATGGAAAATATGGTGCCAGCACGTCACTAGACGGCCCTCGCCACTACTAAGAAATAAAAGACAGCGATGCAGAATCAGGCCGACGTGTCTTGCTAATTAACATTCTCTTCATTATTGGGCTGTGGTCAAAGCCCTCAGTGATCAGCCCTAATTTTGGCTCCAGCGAGTGGGCCGGCTGGGTGGCCCCCCGCCCGAAGGAAGGGCGACAAGAACTGGGGTGGCGGAGCAGTGGGAGAGGAGCGTGGCAGCAGCACGCCTGAACTGGTCAAGCCGGCTGTCTGAATAACACAAGCCCTTGGGCCTTCCTCTGCTGATACCAAGGCAAGGCCATTTTGAAGGGACCGGGCACGTGGTCGCAGGCTTTTGCTGGTGCCACGGAGACCACGTGAGGGAGGGCTGAGCAGCAAGCTGGCTGTGGTGACAAACGTGTCATGATGATCCTCCTTAGGCTGAAGCTTGGGTTCTGAGGTGGAATATGGAGCCTGACGTCCGATGGGTGTGTGTCTCCACTTGCCTCTTAAGGCCTATATTTGAAAATAAATCCAATATTATAAAAAATGCTAACAAAGGTTGGAGGAAACCCAAATTTGAGTTGTGGCGCTCCTGGATCTTCTCGCTGCTCTCCAAGAGAGGGGGGGGGGAGAGACAATCATCACAACAAGCGTTACTTCCTCTTTCAAAGAATTCTTTTAGCCTTCCTTTCACACCATGGGGGGGGGATCCTACCCCTCCTAAACCAGGCCGCTGGTGACCCTGGAAACACCATTTCCGTTCATTGTAGGAGGGAAGCATCTCATGAGAAAAAGGCGCAATTTTCTTCCCTGCATCGTTTAGTGAGCGGGTGAAATCTCCCGTAGCAACTTCCACAAATCGGCTTTTGTTGGTCAAACCCCTTCTCTCCCTGGGCTCCCGGGCACCCTTCCCACAACCTCTTCTTGTTTCTGGGCCTTTGTGCCTCGCCAATTCCCCGCTCTGTCTGTCTGTCTGGGCTCCTCTCTTGCGTCGCTCCTTCTCCAGTCAAGAGAGGAACCCCTTCCAATTCCATCCTTTTGCCGGCCTTTGATCGGAAAGCAAAGCATCCCCAGCAGAATTGGGTGTCTTGTGTGGATGCATCCACACATCTGGATCGGACAAGGGTGTTGTTGACCTGAGACCTCTCAGGATGTTTTTTTTTGATCCAGAGGGACCATTGCAGGTCAAGAGACCTGCCTCCTGCCCCTGGCCTTGGGTTGCCAACTTTCCCACGAGCCCCTGCTCTTCTGCCTGTAACCAGTTGTATTTGCAACATTTTTTTTTTGCTTGGAGGTTGACCTTGCTCTCTTTGCATCCCTAGCTGTGGGGCAGCTTTGCAGAGCGATGCAGGCAGAGCAAGGTCAGCCTCCCAGCGACTCCCTCCTCTAGAGGAAGCCAATCCTAGAGTCCTGGTTGTGGCTCAGAATTAATTGATTTGTTTGTTTGTTTATTTATTTATAGTATTGTAAAATACAATAAAAAAACGAAAAAATTAAAATGCAATTAATTTTAATTAATTTTAATTCCTGTTCCAAATGGCTTTTAACTGAAATAATATCAGCTGTAGGTCTGATGGCAATTTTTAGAATATATATTTTAATTGCATTTTAATTATTTTGCCCTTTTATTTTGCCTTTTTATTGTATTTTAAATGCTGTAAGCCGCCCAGAGAACTTCGGGTAGTGTGGGCGAAATATAAGTTAAATAAATAAATAAAATAAAAATTAAAATGCAATTAAAATATGTACTCTAAAATTGCCATTTAGAGGACCCACAGCTGATATTACAGTACAGTACTGTATTTCAACCCATAGAGAGCCCTGGCGAAGAGCCCGGATGTCGCTCCCTCTCTCCCTCCTCCCGTCCAGAAGGGGGCGGGGCTAAACACCCCCGGGGGCGGAGCTGAGGGAGAGCGGACCTCAAAATGGCGCCTACGAGCCGCGAGGGGGGAACTGTAAGTTTCCATAGTAACCTCTCTGTGTTTCTCCCCTCTCCATAGCCCCTCCCCTTTTCCCTCCCGGGAGCCGCTTTCTTCGGCCGCTGAGACTGGATTCGCCTTTTCAGTTCTTCCTCCCAATTGACCCGGCTCGAAACTTGGGCTTCCCTTCCCCCGGTGCGGCGTTTGCCCCGCCATTGCTGTGCGTCTTTGTTTAACCTCCCCCCCACCTTCTCTCGACCCCGGTGTTGGGTATGGGTGTCACCCCCTATTTCGTACCCCTGGAATCCGCTGCCCGCCGTATTATAGTTCCGCCCTGGAAATCGTATTGATCTTTCTCTCCATAGTCATACGTAGGTCATGATCCTGCAGCTTTTGGGGAAGCTCAATCCGTAACTAAAATATATATATATATATAAATGCACGATGGATATAGTGTGAAATCCAGACGTAGTTATGCTCCGTGAGGATTGGGGCAGCTCCAAAATGCCCTGCCCTTGACAGCCCTGCTCAGTTTCTATTGATTTCGGTGCATCTCATATTTTGACTTTTCTCTTTTCCTGCTGCTTCAACTTTTTAAACCATCATCATCAGCATCTTAGAACTGCAGAGCTGGAAGGGGCTCTATGGACCATTGAGTTCAGCCCTTCTCAAGGAAGGCACAGGGGAATAGAACTTCTATCTTCCTAAACCACTGAGCTATCAAACAGTTCTTCAACATTGTTGTCTTTCCTAGTAAGTCTTATGTTCTAATGATGTGCCCCCAATATATGACAGCCTCAGTTCCATCATTTTTGCTTCCATAGAAAGTTCAGGCTTGATTTGCTCTAGGACCGGCTTTTTTTTTGTCTTTCTGACAGTCCAGGGTGTTAGCAAAGCTGTCTTCCAGAACCATATTTCAAACAAATCAATTTTTCCCCTATCACTGTCTAGCTTTTGCACCAATATATAGCAACTGGGAATTCAAAAGGGCGGGTGATCATGCTTAGTAATGGTTATGTTATTATGTACCATATAATCAAGTGACTTGTGAGTCATGGCAACCCTGTTAATTAAGGATCATTAACAGCCCTGCTCCGATCTTGAAAACTGAAGTTTATGCATCTTTTCTTAATACCATTAATTACTTTGATATCAGTTATATTTCCTATTTTCTTCCAGTTGCGCTAACTGCAGCAATCAATCTTTATGAGCAATGTTCTTTGCAGGAATAGGTCCCATGATGGATTGAAACTGAGCATATAAACCTTTGGTTGGAATTACAACCAAACTAACTTTGTAATTGTGGTACACTTCCCTGCCAGCTCACCTCCTCATTTCCCCTCCTTCTCCATTACTCAACCTAAAACATTTGATTAATCTGCCCGTTTAAATTGTTCAACTTAGGTTTAAATCCATGGTCTACCTATTGTAGTTTTTGGAAGGAGATAAGTGGTTATTTCGAACCCTAAAATTTTTATTTGTATGTCTTGCTTTTCATCGGTTTGTCTGGCTTTCTCTCCGTTGCTTGCACACTATTTATTTACTGTAGAGTATTTGAGATTTCTGTTACTTCTTCTGTTGGTTGTAAGTTTTGCTATGAAAACACTTGGTTTTCTAGATCACTGGTTCTTAACCTTGGGTTACTCAGGAGTTTTGGACTGCAACTCCCAGAAGCCTTCACCACCAGCTGTCCTGACTGGGGTTTCTGGGAGTTGCAGTTCAAAAGCATCCGAGTAACAAAGGTTAAGAACCACTGTTCTAGATCAGCCATTCTCAAGGGGCAGCATCCTGTCACATTTGGAGGGGCCACAGACTGAAAAATGTGAGAAGGGGGTTTTCTATTCACCTGTTTGTATTGTATAGTATTTTCCCAGCCTTCCCTGAACCTTTCTTGACCTAAGGAAAAAAGAAACAAAATATCCCCCTCTAGTGGTCAAAGGCAGAATAGCAGCTTCCCGTTAGTTTCTATGGACGGAAAAGAGCAGATACGGATCAAATGGTTTTCAATGCATTCCTATGGGAAATGCAGATTTGACCTGAGAACTTTTTGACTTGAGAACCGCCTTCCAATACGGATTAAGTTCTCAAGTCAAGACCCCACTGTATCCTTGTTTGGCAAGCAGCCGTGGAACCTGAGAAGCCTTCCTAAAAGGGCTGTGGCCAAAGAAAGCCGTTGAAAATGGCTGTTCTAGATGTTTTGGATGTCAGTTCTGGGCAGACCCAACCAGGATGACCAATAGTTCAGAGAGTATGGAAGTTCTTGTGGAAGAGTATAGCTGCTTTGATATGTAAGACATTCAAAAAGGAGAGAGGAATGATATGCTGAATCTTAAAAATTATTTAACTGAATTACTTCATCTTGAACCCATCAGTATATACTAAGACTGCTTGATAGCTCAGTGGTTGAGTCTCTGGCTGTGGAGCCAGAAGTTGCGGGTTAAATTCCTGACATAGAATCATAGACTCATAGAAAAGTGAAGTTGGAAAGGGCCTACAAGGCCATCAAGTCCAGCCCTCTGTTCAATGCAGGAATACAATCAAAGCAGATCTTCGAGGTGATTATCTAAGTTTTTCTTGAATGCCTCCAGTGTTGGCGCACTCACCAATTCCCGAGGTCATTGTTTCTACTGTCATACTGCTCTAGTATGGCCATAAGCTGGACTCAATGATCTATAGGGGCCCTTCCAATTCTGTAGTTCTAAGATTATGATGATTATAGGTTTCTGGTTGGCTAGCAATTCAAATCAGCTCAGTAAAAAAATGCTGCCATCTCATTAGAACAGAAGAGTGTGATAAAGTATGAACAAGGTGGATGAAGATTTACATTCAGTGATCAAAATCCTGTTATGAGTTATGCAAAAGGCATATATTTTGAAGCAAAGTTCGCTAGATTAAGAAATCTGTAGGCATGTTCTGTTGCCTGCTGAGTTGTGTGACTCAGTGTGCAGTAGAGCATGCCTACAAAGATTTCTTAACTGATGGCAATTCACTGCTAAAAGTTACACCTTTTGTATTTATTTGTTTGTTTGTTTATTTGTTTGTTTGATTGATTTATATCCCGCCCATCTGGTCTGATCGGCCACTTGTATAACTCTGCAACAGGATTTTGGCCAGTGTAATGTTGGCCTTTATTTGTGCTTTTATTTTTGAAGTTGCATTTTGTGAACTGTCTTGCCTAAACATGGCTCAGAAAGTGTCAGTTACATACGGTATGTAAACACATAATAAAATCTAGGCAAGGGCAAACCAAGATAGTGGCTCAGCATTGCAAAAATAACAGATTTACCTTTGTGAAGGGAATTCCAAAGATAGGGTGCCATCACTGAGATGGTCCTATCACTACCCACTACCCGCCTTATCTCAGATAGCAAAATCCTAGAAAGGTCGTTTCTGTTTATAGTTTTGTTAATGTGCTGTTCGACTAATACATCATCATGTCAACTTCTGCAGGATCTTAGCGAAGACTGTCCGTGCAGTTAACCTCTGTGATTTTTCTGTTCTCTGGATGGAAGGCGCAGAAGAGTCTTACCATTCCTGAAATAAGTTAGGTGAGTTATTACTTATTATTTCCAAATCATCACCCAGCGAAAATCCCCCATAGGAAACACTGTTTTGCGAATCACTATAATGATCGCAAAAAGTCATCGTCTAGCAAAAAAACGTACTGCGGAGTAATCGTCTAGTGAGGTACCACTGTATGTTATGGAGAATTTTGGAAAACTGTCCCTCTTTCCTGGCACTCTGCAACACTTTAAGGAACTCTGCAGCTTTACAGTAAATCATAAAAGGAGAACCAGAGATCAGCAAAAGGTGGGATCTTGGGAAGGGGGGGCTGTGGTGCAGATCAGACTGCATCAGATTGAGAGGCTGGTGTGGATGCTGGCCCTGAAATAATCCAGTCTCTGTGATCCAAACGGAAGTTTAAAATAGGCTGCCAGTCAAGCCTCGGGAAAGCCGAAATACTCTGATCCAGCCTCAGTCTCCTTTATTTTTTACGTTTCCAGATTAAAAGTAATAAATAAATTATATCAGGATTAGCCACTAGAGGGTACTGGCGATACAGTACTGTATTTTGCTTCTTCTTCTTCTTTTTGGTCTGCTGATCATAACAGTACAATACGGTGTTGCTTTTGCAAATGAGTCAACTATAATATTAATGATGTTCTTGACGTCTCAAAGTAACACAACGATGTCCTTAAAAAAACCAACAATGTTCAAAGTGCTGATGGAGCAGCATCCTAACCGTTTCCATGCTTTTGCCCTTTTATCCTTGAAGGAGGAAGGGTGTGTGAATCCAGCATACCAAGTTAAACAAACAATATGATTGCCCTGTGTGTGAATCCAGCATACCAAGTTAAACAATACGATTGCCCTTTTGGCTGCTTTGATAGACGGTGACTGGGCTTACTAAACGGCAGTATCCCTCTGGTGACTTCTCTCGAGTAGGGCTGCACAAACAGATAAGCGCTGAAACCAAAGCTGCAGAAGACTACACTGGGAGGAAGTGGGTCATCCGTGGGTGGGCGGGTGCCACCCTGGCCCCTTTGGGTGGGCTGCGTTAATTCTTCCCTTATAAATTCCTGTTTCTGGCGATAAGGGAGCTTATAACGGAACTGTGCCACACCTGGGTGTAGCCTGATGGTTACCCCTCCTAGGTTTTCACATAGGAAGCCAGCTGCCTGCCCAGAAACCTCCTATTTCAAACCAGGAAGCCACCACCAGGTTGGGGGAAAGTTGACCTCTGTGCAGTTTGCGGAGTGTTATATGCAAAAGTCGCAGGCCTGATTCTTGGGCATCTCTCAGTAAGAGCCGGTAGGTTTTCTTCCTTGAACACTGCAGGCCAGCTGCCGGTCGCCGAGGGATCTAGCTGTAGTTTTCTCTGACCCTAGCAGGCCATATTGGGACTTGAACTTGGGATCTTTTGCATGGAAAACAAACACAGTATGTGGAATTTTTTGCATGGAAAATAAACGCAGTACTGTAGTTTTCCCTGACCCTAGCAGGCCATATTGGAACTTGAACTTGGGATCTTTTGCATGGAAAACAAACGCAGTGTGTGGAATTTGGTGGCACGGGGGAGAACATGGTTCATGGAGCATACTATGCTTGTAGGCTGCCTGTTGTGAGTGCCCGGTACACAGGAGAGGCCCTTCTCTGTGGCTGTTCCTAGACTTTGGAACTCCCTCCCACAGGACACCCGGCTGGCTCCACCTGTTCAGTCCTTCCGCAAGCAGGCCAAGAGTTTTCAGGCAAGCTTTCCAGGAGTGACTGGCTTGCCTGAGTGGGGTTTTTAAAACAAATTGTTCTACCTTACTGCTTTGAATGTATTCTGGTGTTGTTTAAAGATTTTTTTTAGTACAGTAGTTGTTTGATCCTTTTTCGTTTCCCTGTTGGTAGCTTTATATTGTCTTTTAAAGAGGTAAGTGGGTTTGGTTCCTTTTAAGGAGAAAGGCAGGGGGTAAAAATATTTTAAATAGATAAATAAATAAAAATGACTGCAGGTTGTGGTTCTTCTTGAGCATCCCCTGGGTTGGGCATTCCACGCCTATCCGGTTGTCACTTGCTTACATGCCAGGTGGAAAGGCAGCTACTTATATGGTATGAATCCGTCAGCACATGCCCTGAGGGGCCTGAGCATCTCTGCCTTTTTAAACAGCAGCCACAAGCTTATAATATTATTTCCCTTTTCACACACACCTCCCCACTGTTTTTGCATTTCCCTTTTGTTTAAATTAAGGTTGCTTAAGCTTATGGGGGTTCGTGATTCTTGCATTCTGCTCAGCTGCAGAAGCTCTCCCTAGGGCAGGCCTAACCCTGGCCTAGTTTAATAGATGGCGGTTTTCTTGTAAGTGATACGGCTGCTGTGAAAACGGGCCGCCTGCTGTCGCAGCTGCTTGCAAAAGGGTTCCAGCAGTAAAAACTACAGATGAGCTGGTTGTCCTTTGCTCTACCGAGCCAAAGGGAATGGTACTTACCTTTAGGAAGGTAGGTACTGCCTGCGAGTGAACTGTTCTAATTAGTGTCGGTTTCCACCCATGGTGGGAAAGTTGTATGTTCCAGTCTGCTTATGAGATGCCCTTGGATTTGAAATTTCTCCTTGAAAAATGGGGCATGAATTGTTCCAGACTTTTAGATGTTATTTTATTTATTTATAGCTTATGACAGTGGTGCCTCGCATTACGATCGCTTTGTTTAACGACAAAATCGCATTATGATGAACTTTTTGCGATCGCTTTTGCAATCGCAAAACGATGTTTCCTATGGTGGAATTTCGCTTTGCGATGATCGATTCCCTGCTTCAGGAACCGATTCTTCGCAAAACGACAATTTTCCAACAGCTGATCGGTGGTTTCAGAATAGCTGCCAGGTAAATAACATGGCTCCCCACTGTGTTTAGGGATGGATTCCTCGCAAGACAGGCAGCGAAAATGGCTGCCCTATGGAGGAGCTTCGCTGGACGGTGGGTTTTAAGCCCATCAGAATGTATTAAACAGGTTTTAATGCATTTCTATGGGCTTTTTAATTTTGCTTTACGATGCTTTCGTTCTACAGTGATTTCGCTGGAACGAATTAACATCGTAATGCGAGGCACCACTGTACTTATATACGCCGCCCAATAGTATGTGATACGCACTCTGAACAGTTAACAACCAACCGTAATGCGAGGCACCACTGTATTTATATACGCCACCCAGTAGTATGTGATACACACTCTCTGAACAGTTAACAACCAACATATATAGGCTACAAATAATGCCGCAATTGTAAACATCAACAAACAATAAATGGTAACGTAACATGCCAAATCCTATTTAATCAGATTTAAACCACAGTTGGACACCAGAATGGCACACAGTTAATAAGAGGCAGCTTTAAATAGTTCCGTTTTAAGTATCTACTTAAAAAAATGAGAGGGAGGTCACTTGGCAAATCTCTGCTGCTAGTTTGGGCTCCCAGCCTGGCAACCTTTTATCCTTCAATTTATTTCATTTTTGCTCCCCTGCTTAACGGTGTAAAAATGATTTAGTGGACTATGAGCAGTAATGAGCCAGATGGTGTTTGTGCGAACGCCAAATAAACACCTAATTGTGCTGAGTTTAGCCAGATGGTGTTTGTGCGAACGCCAAAACGAGAACAAATAAACACCTAATAGTGCTGAGTTGACAGGACGGGTGGAAGAAAGAAGCAAGGTGATGGGGGATGCGGATGTATGGAGAGAGGAGGGGGTAGGATCTGGCCCTTCAGAGATTAGTGACACATGCCCTGGCTACAAACTGGCCGGATTACTGTAATGCACTCTATGTGGGGCTGCTTTGGAAAGAAACTTCAGCAGGTCCAAAACCTGGGAGCCAGAATGCTAACGGGCTGGTTAACAGTGTCCAGAAACTTCAGCAGGTCCAAAATCCGGGAGCCAGAATGCTAATGGGCTGGATACAGGGATCACATAACCCCTCTGTTACAGCACCTTCATTTCTGAGCATAATTCACAATGCTGGTTCTCATCGATACAGCCCTTAATGACTGGGGTCCGAGCCACAATGCTGGTTCTCATCGATACAGCCCTCAATGACTGGGGTCCAAGCAAACTCAAGGACCGTGTCCCCCTTGATGATCCTGATTGAGTGTCAATCATCAGGGAGGCCTTTCCCTTAGCCATTTTCACAGGTGCCCTTGATGGGGACCCAGGAGAGGGCCTTCTGAAAGTGGCTGCTCCCAGACTTTGGAACTCCCTGCCACTGGAGGCTAGACTGACCCCATATTTGCTATCCTTTGGCAGGCAGGCAGAGACCTGTCTCTTCAGGCAGGCTTCCCTGGGTGAATGGCTACAGAGTGAAGTTTTTAAAATGGATCGTTGTGCCTTGCAGCTTTGAATGCGTTTTGATGTTGCTTATGTGTATTGTATCGGACGGTGGTGCCCCGCATAGTGACGTTAATCAGTTCCAGATTAATCGTCGCTATGCAAAAACATCGCTAAACGGATCAAAAAACCCATAGGAATGCATGTGTCAGCGAAGTTCCTCCATAGCGCCACCATTTTCGCGCCCTCGGTAAGCGAGGGCAGGGCGCGAAAATGGTTGCGGCGGTCATTTTGGGCGTCCGGCAGCCATTTTGGAACCGCCGATCAGCTGTTTTAAAAAACATCGCAATGCGATGTTTTACCCATTAAAACATCGCAATGTGGTCGCATTAGCAATTTGAAAAAACAGATCGCTATGCGGATTCGTCGTTAAATGGTGCGCTTGTTAAGCGAGGCACCACTGTATTTGCTTGATACTCACTGTTGTTAGCTTTAATATTGACTTTTAATGATGTAAGCCACCGTGGATCCCTTTTCAGGAGAAAAGTGGGGGTAAAAATATTTTAAATACATACATAAATAAAAATTACTGCAGGTTCTGCTTCCTGAGCATCCCCTGGGTTAGGCACTCCAAGTGAGTGAGTGGGTAAATAGTGGGCTTTGAGGGGTTGGCTGGTTGGAAATCGTGGAAGTAATCTGTGTTATTAGCAAAACATTTACTTTCCCCATAAATTCCATCAATGAACGGCT